TGGTGATGCCTTCCGTTGTGCGACCTGTCCATATCTTGGCATGCCAGCATTTGCACCTGGGGAAAAGGTTGTATTAACGGGAAATATGATGCAGGACGACATATAAGTTGTTGATATTTGCTAAAACTTAAAACTGATATAAAGTAATATCAAGATCGATGTTATCACGAGTAAAATTGAATATTCAGAATTAAATATTATAAAATTAATAGTTAACAATAAAGATTTGCATAATGTTCTTTGTGATTTGTTTTAACTGTAATATTTATTGATCCCGATAGTGATTTATTAAAGATTATAAATAAATATATAAGTTTTACTTTAACTTAAATCTTTAACATAAATTATATCTTGTGAATTTTAATAAAAAACAAAATGAAAATGACAACGCGCTGGGCAAAATCTTCCATAGTAAACCAAAAACCAAACGCTGATGTTGTCTCAAAGACGAAGGGTAAAATGAGAGTTGGCAAACCCACGCCACGTGTTATTTCTCGCAGTTCAAAAGGTCTATCTACCGTAATTTCATACTTTAGTGGACAACTTGGTATAAAATAAAACAACGGATATTTAAGCCATATAATTTATTTAGTATCGCGTATTAGGTTACCTAGTCCTACGAAGCACGTTGACAGACGGACCACTAATCCTGACCAGGCTGAAATTCACAAACCCAAAGGGTCTAGGTTGAAAGCAGATTATAATACGTCGTCAAATGATGATCAAAAATCATCTACGGATTTACATGACAAGGAGTATGTGTTTTTAATTTAATCTTGCAAAACGTGAATTTATAGTTCTTAAGTTCATATTTAGTTTTAGTGATTTAGACCATAAAGAAATTATGGTGGCTCTTGCAGGTATCTATTATAGTACTACTTTATATCATTTTATTTGATTTAAAATTAAGTTTAAATTTATAGCATCCCTTAAAAAACGAGAAAATCAATTTTCAAAGTCGATGGACAAGCGATTCGAATTAAGTAGGATTACTGTAACCAATGCTCTTGGGAGTTATATTGAGAAAGAAGATAATATCACGTGAGTAAAGTTTTAACTCATTACGCAATGTGATCTCATAATTTTAATAACCTCTTGCACTCGGGAAAAAAGAACAAAAGTCGCGTCAGAATATAAGCACAGGATGGATGAATATGCCGAAGAAAAGCGAAATTGTTTAAGGAAACTCCGATTGGGGTTTGAAAAATATCAAGTTTGTTCATTCTATGTTTATAGCTTTACATTATATTTAAATTCTCGACTCTTAATTCTTTTATTTTTATATTAGTTAATAATGTCTGATTTGCTCGAAGCGCTTGATAAGAACCATTCCCAGAGCATGCGTGCACGAAGGGATTTCGAGAAAGATATTACACACATCCGTATGTTAAACTTATCATTTCTGAATTTGTGCACCCGACAAATTAATTATTAATTATTTTTCCTTCAGAAACAATACATCAATCTGAGATAACTAGATTATATGAAGAAATCGAAAAAACTACATCGTGTTTCCATAAAACCATGGAAAGTGCAGCAAAAGTTCGTAACCATTATTTATTGATACAAAAAAAAAATAAGTAGTTGTCGATTTTTATTCTAATATGTTTCTCTTTCCTTCAGGAATTTCACCAAAAGCCATCAATTACCAAGCAATTCAAGTCACTTCTCAAGTTACAATAACCCTGTTTCAATAACGATAATATATATTTGCTAATTAGTCGATCATGCACATAACAGTTAATTTGTGTTATTGAAGATATTTAATTTATTTTAATTAACGTTAAAAGGCGTTACATATAACCAAAATCAGATGTACTTGCATAACAATAACGATAATTTTTTAAAAAAGATTTCTATTTGTACGTACCCCGTGGCTAAATTACCCAGTATATTAAAAAAAAAGGTTAAAAATCGTTAATATCAAAATTTTTACCATGAAAATTAGTGTAGAAGTAAAAATGGTCATCTAATTTTGCATGTAATCACACTTGTTTTTAAATTTTAATATGGATTACTATCAAAATAGATTGACATTTTTAAAAAAAAATTATTGCTTCAGCTTTTATTGCATATATTTTGATAAATATTTGTCAAAGAAAGCTTAGACCTTAAGCTTTTTTTTAATTATTAAATGATAAGAATAGTTTCTATTATAAAACGCATCTATGATGGTTTGGTATCTATTATATATTTTACTACAGGCTGACTTTTCACTAAAAAATATCAATAACCTTAGTCCAATAACCTAGATTAATCCCAGGCACTTATGTCAGACCACTGTTCTACAATAGGATATCACCAATCTGATGATATCTTCTCATAGAGAAGTGAAAAAAACAAAAAAAGTACTAACACTAAT